ATCAAAAAAAAAACGCACTCTGGAAACGAGCCAGAGGGGCAGAAGCCAATATAGAAACCTTCGAACAACTTAAACATTTGAATAATTTTCGACTATGAGTATGTAAGCTGAGCAACACCGGTCAATGACGCGAGCGGTTGCGTAGCGTGCTATTAGGAGGTACTCGAGGTGCTTTAAAAAGTTTATAGTAGACAAGGATTACACATAAAAAAATCTCTAAAACAGTGGGATTTTTGAACTGCCCATTAACACAGAGCAAATTGAGGCTCAGCAAAGCTCCTAGACAATAGTATGGGAGCTTTAGCTTCAGGGTTTCGATCGCTAAAATATTGCATTGGAATGCCTTGAATAACCTTGAATCCGTCGTCCTCTATGAATTCACATCCTAGTTTCACACCACCCAAAAGCTTTCGTTCAGGCAGTCGCCACCGGCTTGGTTGCAGTTGGTTTTGCCGTGAATATGGCAGACTCAGGGGCAGATCCCATTTCTTGGCTGGCTTTGGCTGATTGTTCGATGACCGAAAAGTCACTGAGATCGCGGAATGACTGTGCCACCTTCCAATCTTTCTCGAAGTAGTTAAGCCCAATTTCGTGAATATGCAGATGGTTTTTTGAGTATATTCTTGTAGAGGAAATCAAGTAGATAATTTCTGGAAAAAACCCGAACCCAATAGTCATATTCTATGGGGAGAAAAAAAAACTGCGAAAAATTCCGCAATAATTATGCATCAACCTAATACTTTATTGCTTCGCACTAACTCTTGAAGTCAATACGTGAATAGCACGGAATATTTGCGTACGATCAAAAGGGATTCACGGTAGGAAATAGGATCTCTAAGGTTTAAAGTTCCGTTTCTGTCTCCCGAGTTCAATGTATTTGGCGTCAGGGATTTCACTTCCTTAATTAGTCCCTGACAGCTTTGGCAACGTTCCAGCTCGTCAAAAAGTCTCATCAGGGAGCTCATTATTGGATAGCGAGTGACAAGTGCAAACGTCCCCATGCATCAAAAAAATAACGCACTCTGGAAACGAGCCAGAGGGGCAGAAGCCAATATAGAAACCTTCGAACAACTTAAACATTTGAATAACTGTCGACTATGAGTATGTAAGCTGAGCGACACCGTTCAATGACGCGACGGTTGCGTAGCTTCTTTTTACGAGGTATTCGGGGTATTTTAAGAAGATTATAGTAGACAAGATTACACACAAAAAATTTCAAAAACACTGTGATTTCTTAAGTTCCCGACAACACTGACTAAAATGGGGTCTAATAAAGCTCCCAAACAACAGTATGGGAGCTTTAGCTTCAGTGTGTCGATCGCTAAGATATTGCACTGAAATGTCTCGAATAACCGCGTATCAGTCATAAATTGTCAGTTTACATCTTAATATCGCATCACCCAAAAGCTCTCATGCAGGCAGTCGCCACCGGCTTGGTTGCAGTTGGTTTTGCCGAGTCTGTCGCACATCTTTTCGACTCTGAAAGCCGTACCTTCACGAAAGTGATCGCCATCGCCACACTTGCTGTGCTGACTGGTGAGTCATTTTGGATTACAATGTTTTAAGCTGCTACGTTCAAACCATCACTGGAAAAAGACCCACATATAAGGCTCTGCGATTCTTGGCTAGTTGTCTCGTCATATTCTAGTTGATCGTGTTAGATAGCTGTCTCGCTGCACTGCACATCCCTTGAACTTATAACTGTGTCGACCGTCGATTGTGATTATTCATTATGCACAAGCAGAAACCACATCTCCTTGGAACTTGTCCAGTGGTCGTTGACGGTATACCACACACCCCCTTCCCTCCCTAATTTGACCGAAGTCGGCCCATGCCAGTTTTCAGAAAGTACCAATCGGAGCTGGTGTAGAACTACACATACATATCAGTTCTATAAACCCTCGAATGCTGTCGAACCTCTTAAAAAAAAGCTCGATTCCCTTCCCTAATGGAAAAAATAGTACTCGAAACCCGTCCTGTTATAAATTGTGGACACATCTTTTTTGAACGCCAGACCTTCAATTTTTTGCCTGCCTCGAAAAGCACGTAAGTTTTTCTTTCCCTCTCTTCTGGGAACTCAATTTGTTCAAAAAAAGAAACCACAGAAAAACCAAGGGCTAAAGGGTAAGTGAAAGATATTCAAGAATGCACCATGCACTTGTTTTTATTTACTTAACATCCCATTTCAGGAATAAACACTGCCGGAGTGTCATGGGTGGTTCGACTACAGCTGCTTCTTCTCGGATTTCTTGCTTTGGCAGTGCTCGATTTCCTTCTCGGGGCACTATTCACATCCGATCCAAGTAACACTATTTACTATTTATCTTTATCTGGTTTCAACCACAAAAAACAGGATTTGGAAGGCCAGTCGCAGAATAGAGGAAACACGATTAACGCATACTCTTAATTTTTTCATCAAGCTTGTAATTTTACTTTATTTTACTTTAGTTTATTTATTTATTTATTTATTTATTTTTTATTATATTTTAACGTAACAAAATTTTTCAGTTTTCAATTTTTACTTAAAATTTTTTATTGGATTATAAATCTATCCCCATATTTTTGTTTTCATTTTATTTGGTACATTGACGCTTACTCACGAATTTAGTATTATGAATTGTAGAGTTTAATAACTATTTATAATATTTATCCACCTGATTAAAACTAAATATAAAATTATTATTCCACTTGTTTATTTTCGTTTTACTTCAATCTATTAATATATCAAATACTATTATAAGGTACATTCATCAATTATCTATATGAACTTATTTCATTGATAAATTTATATTTATTTAATTAATAATATGCGCTTATCATGAACTTGTAAAAAGTACTGTAGTACTGTATACTAATACGTAAAAGTAGATCATATTTTGCTTATACGTATAGCTACATAGCTGTTCCTGGAAGACCCTCACCGTAATCAGGAAATCGGAAAATTCCGTAGTGACAACTTGGGAAATTCATCTGCCTCCCTCTTTTGAGTGCTATAGGGAAATTGACCCGACAAAACCGTAAGAAACCGATATCGGAAGTCCAAATGAGTATTAGAAGACTTTTTTGTGGTGCAAACTCTTTTTTGGCTTTTTTTCTGATAACAGTGTCACCGTAGTCATATCAGTAAGGTTCTACGTGCTCAATTTCAAGGATCTCAATATTCGTTCAATATTTATTTAAACTTAAATTTTATTGCTTATGATTGACTATAATTAATGACTATAATAATATTATCATTAATTAGTAATTTGGTATTGAGCTGCATAGTAGTGGGATTACGGGAGGAGTTTGGATCCGTTCGAAACTCTCTTTTATTTTTGGAATTTTCGAACGATTCCCAATTCCATCACATGATTAAGCAGCCAACTAGGCGTGTGATTGCCACCACTTTCGAATCGACTCCTCTCTATTTCGACCATGACCATAGCGGTCGGAAAAGCGAAAACTCAAGATCAAGCCCGGGACGAGCAGCAGAGAAAGACTACCCTATATAGGTTGACTGAGTCTTACCCCTTATATAGCAATCGCTATTTTTACTTTTACAGCGAAGTATTGATTACTTTGTAAAGGATGTATGTAAAACTCAGCTGACCTGTGTAGAAGAAGATCTGGGCAGCTAGAGTTATACTAATTATCCTCGCATCAAGTGATCGGAGGATTACTAGGCTATGTCAGACTGGATCCATCATCTAATCCCCGGGCCATGCCACTGACAGCTAACAGTGATACTCCTTGATGAACGTATACCATTCTAACGCTGTGATGACCCTTACGAAGATTTTGTTCACTTAAAGTTCACGATAAAAATGGTTCCTAAGATTCCCTCACAGGATGTATTCGAGGCCCACGCGTATACCATATCTGGCACTATTAAGTCAGACAACGGCCTAGTCAGGGGGTTATAAGGGCTCAAAGATTGGCCCGTGTGTATACCCGGACGAGTTTCACCGGCATTTTAGAGGCTGCACCGATCACAACAGAACACATGTAGGAAGTTCAAACAACTTGTAATGAACCATAGCGACAGTGAAAGACAGTTCTGTACAGTTCTGGCTTGTTGTAGTCAGCTCTTTGTGCAATTACAGTGACTGAAGTCTCGTCCGAATACCCCCTCCACATTATTTCTGTCATGGCAATCTCGTCCACACTCTATTTTTCCTACTTTTGAGGAGCCATATTTTTCTCGAAATCAGCGAGTTCTTTCGCTTTCTTCACTACCGATGAGCCATTCCCAATCTATACTTCCGCTTTTCGAATGAAAGCGGTTCCCTCAATTATCGTGAACTGTGCCTCTAAAATATTACGCTCAGCTTAGAAGCCCTGCGAGCCGAGTTGTAGCAATGAGAAATGCAAAAATTCTACATTACCATGAATTATAAGTCCGTTACCATGGAAAACTCATAAGCAGCAGAAACGGCTCTAGTAATGTAAAGATATGTGGAAGCGACGGAATGAAACGATGCATCACAAAAAATCAAAACCATACATGGGTGGTTTTCGTGGACGGTCCAGCAACAGGAACGTTCTCATCGTGTGGATGTTGCAGTGCGCTATCGTATGGCATCCTGCTCCACACACTCCTTCTTAGCTCCCTACCATCCCCACTCCACTCTCATACACTATGTTCTCATGTGACGTATTTTACCCCAACCTTATCTGGATAGAATTATTCGAGGGATTTACATCAGGGTAATAGCGCAAAGTATCACCAAGAATAGCATGGAGCTTCTGCAGCAGATGTAGGATCATCCGCGTAAACTGATCTCTGCAGAGCTCGAAAAGACTGCCGGTACCGAACAAAACTGAGTCCGTGGATCCAGACATTTTTGGGGGAACGAGCTGAGAATTCGGCAAGGACCGAAAAGTAGAGAAAGGGCTCGGGGCAGGTTGAAAAACCCCGGTTTGTAGCTAAAGCTAAAAATTCGTTTAAAAAAAATATAGCGAAGATCTGATGGCCATGTCCAAGGAAATTGGTACANTTTTTTTTTTTGTTGGACTGGCTTTGATAAATGAAAAACTATTACGGTATTCCGAAATCTAACGAAAGTCATGCTGATGCTCATACTCTCCCCATACTCTCCTTAGCGCCGTATCCTATGCGATTTGAAATGGAGAAAATCGTTTGCAAAAATTGCTGTAGGGAAGGAGGGGAAAGGAGACATGGAGGTGAAGACAAGAGAATGTGAAACATATACAGCATAGTCTCCGCAAAAAGCTTCGCACCTTTTCTACAAGAAAGAGTTCTTCACGACAATTATCATCTACCAATTATTAAAAAATATTTATAAAACATACGCGTTACTAAAGTGATGGGATCGTAACCCATCATAATAGAAACTCACGAGTGCATAGGTGATGGGAAGGGCAGTGAAGAGAGAAAATTCAGTCTTCGGGGATCGAAAGAACTATAAACGCAAACGTCACCAGCAACAGACAGAAGGTATTTTTAGTTTGCGTTTGACAGTTAAAAAAGGTTCGGTGAAAGGTGTATTGATCAGAACAGGGTGAGGGAAGCAAAACATCAAAAACACGAAGAACATCTTGCATTAAAGCGATTAAAGCGATATTTTCTATTAGAATATGGGATAGGCATTAAATTCAATAGAAAAGACCTCATGAGTAAAAGTAAATCCAAGAAATCCTAAGGCTTATGAAGCCAATCAATCAGCAAACACACCAGGAAGGAGGTGGCGGGGTGGTTGGACTGGCAGGGCAGGGCAGGGCATTGTTCAGTGATGGGGTCATAGTACAGTAGATCAATCGCCGGGGTACTGTAACGCCTGTCTACGTACACATTTACTAGGCAACATCTCTGAGAAGTTAGAAAGTATAACTTTCATACTCTCATCCGATAGATTGAACTAATACCTGAAAAAGCCAATGAAACATACCTTTAAAGAACGCGGTGTATTTTTGTTGCTTATATATTATTTATTCATACATACATATATATGTTCGATTTTCATTGTCTGCATATCCACCTATTACTTGCGTTCTTATTTTTGATATATCTAATGTTGAAAGGAGATGGTGAAATGACAAGTGGCGCAATATCACGAACACATGGTCACGGGTTCGAATCCCGTATCGATATCCGCCTGGGTCAGCTGAGCTTTGCATTCATTCGGTGTCGGTTAATTGTAATCTCTCTCGTCTGATTCGTCTGGGAGGAAAAAGCACTGACCACTGTACATCGGGTGACCACCACAAATCATTGTATAGGCCACATTCGCGCTCAATACGCCACGACGATTCTGAATGGAAGTCGAATGCGTGGCGCATCCTACAGCCACGATCAACCAATTCCAAAGTCTTCCTGCTCTGTCCTTCATCCTTATTGCTACTATTATTGAAAGTCTTCCTGCTCTGTCCTTCATCCTTATTGCTACTATTATTGTTACATTCATTACTATTTTCTCTAGGTGTTCTCTCAGAAAGCGTCTCAACTTCTATGTAGGTGAAGCCCCTTCCATTCCAGGTCATGGTATTTCCCGTTTCTCGTACGCTCATCTGAGTGAAAATGCTGAACCGATGTATGCATCGGTGAATTGTACACCAATCGGCTTCGATCGTATCATTCCTGAACAGTCGTTTTTCACGGTTTTTGGAGTGTTTTTCGCTAATTTCCTCGGAGTGTTGGCTGGTAAGTCTTTACTTTTCAGTAGCAGATTCTTTTTGAACTTCCAAACTTTTTGAACTTCTAAACTGGTAAGAGGGCGAAGATTAGTTCCGAAAAGTATTTGAACCCGTATACAAGATGGATCTCGATTTTCCTCTTTGATAAAGGTGGTGGTGGTGGTCATAACCCACGAAGACCTGTGCATAGTGCTTCTATAAGCGGCCAAATCGCCTCAGTAACAGACAGCGGCGGCCGTGTCGCAACCGCCCGCGTCTCAGATCAGAATGACCTTGATAATTATTAACCATGTCGTTTTCAGGTGTGAATATGAGTGGCGATTTGAAAGATCCTCATAAGAGTATTCCACTTGGTGAACTGTCTGCTGTAGGAGTGAGGTGAGCTTCACAGTAATCTATAGATTTTGATTTTCCCTTTTTTATGTTAATAATTTATAATTCGAGTCCTCAGAAGCATGACTGCGCCTATGTAACTAATACCATTTTACCAGTTTTCACTAAAAATGTGATAGAAAGGTATAGGACAATAGGTCCGTTTTTGTTCAAGCTTTTTTTGTATTTTTCAATGGAAGCGTGTGCACTTCTCAGAAATAGCTCGTTTTGTGAATGAGTGACGAGTTTCTTTACTGGATTTCTTGGATTTGGACGCTACCGCAAGCACATAGGCTGACCGTCACGCGACCGCACGCGTAACAAACTTGCACCACATCTTGTGCTCTTTTTCTTTTTTCTTTCTCAAAATTTTGTTTGAATAACCTACGTTCAGCTCTTCGATATGCTTCGTATTCATCATGATCCTTGGAGCTACTGGCGATCGTCTAAGCCTCATCTGTGACAATCTCATATCCGAAAAGGTGATACTAACAACCATTTGCAGCTCAAAACCCTGCTTTTCCATCGTTTACGTTTTTCTCGATGAAAGAAAGCTCCACCCACGCAAATCCAATTGGCCAGACCTTCAATGCACCATTCCCACTGATCTCGTCTATTTCAGGTTGCTTTGACTGGCGTACTTTTTATGATCGGTTTGTACATCTGTTCGTTATCGTCCACAATCGGCTCACTGCTCGGTACTCCACGTGTTCTTCAAGGAATCGCAGCTGAAGGCATCATCCCAGTGCTTAATCCTCTCGCTCAAGGGGTAAGTGATCCCTGTCGATATGTTTTCTCCGCCCCTTCCCAATCAATATACCCTTCCCTACAGTCCGGCGCCAACAAAAACCCAGTGCTGGCCGGTGTGGTGTTGATGGCAGTGGCATCGGTGTTCGTACTGCTCGGCGATCTTAATCAACTGGCTATTCTCTCTACAATGCCATTCCTCATCACCTATGCTTTCGTAAATTACTCCTACGTATCTCTGGCAATGAGTTACGATCTCATCACTATAAGCCATGCGTATGTTTCAACAACGTTCTGTTCCCAGATGCTCGGCCGTATACATTTTTTTGCAGAGAAGGTGACATCAAATACGGTTCTATGCATAAAATTGGCGATTTGGACGAGTTGTTCCCTGAACGACAGCAACAGCAACAATGTACAAGTACAATCGAGGCCGGGAAAATCGTTGGCCAACCGGCCACCTGGTATTCAATGTTNAAAAAAATGCTTCAGTAACAGCTTCACAGCTTTGAAAAACGGAAAAAACCCTCCCACTCCCTTTCAGGGATTCGGAAAGGACACAAATTCGAGCTATTCTGAAACCTTAAACTCGGGTTAAATATCGCTTTTCGTGCGAAAAAAAAAATTGGTCAACACCCAATCTCATCTTTCAAAAACTCAATTACCAGTTAATTCTTGTGACTGTGAGTAATGCAGTAATTCTTCTTATAATGCAGTAATTGATTTCAGTTTATGGTAAACCTACTGATCCTGTTCCTTATTCATTTCTGGTTCGCGGTTGCCCATTTCGCAGTGCTTATAATTATCTACTACTACATTGGCCGAGTTTGTCCTTCTTGTTCACCAGGTAAGCCGAAATTCACGATCGAACTGTGCCTTCAATGTGGTCGCCAGCGAGGTCCGCATGTGGTAATGTCGCGGTTGCCTGAGGGGAGAATCCGATACTAAAGTTTTCAATACGAATTAATGAAATACAAATGATGGGTTTCATTGAGTGAAAAAGTTTGTTACACTACAAAAATGTGCACTTGCGTCCGAATATGCGAACGCTTCTCTTCTAGATAGATTCTTTTTCGGAATGGAATCTAGTTTCCAGTGAATTAACAGTCTTCAGGGGATAGATGACATGGCAGTCAACCAATAGATAAATAAATGAATAAATTACAGGAATCTCAACCTTTTCTATCCCACATATGTTCCGCATTGCCTTCTCATCACTTGAGACAATTGGCGTATTCAATCGAGGGCCCTGTGTGTTGACAAAGGTAAACAAAGACATATATCAGAGGTAGAAATTCAATGCCTCGATCTCCTTGTTCCAGGAAGGACCATCCAAGGAAGTACTAACCGAACAACTCAACGAATCAAATCCCGACTACCAAGATCGGAAACAATATCACCATGCCCAAAATGTCACACAAGAATTCGATTAATCGCCAAACACATACCTATACTTTCTGCGCCAATTGTAGTACTCCTCGTCTTACTAATTTATCATTCCGTAGATATCAAAGAGCTTTATCCACTTTGGCCTATCATTCACATTTCCGGGTTCAATAAATACTTCTGTCCGACTCGTACTTTCACCAACCGTTTATGCGCAAACAATCGGATAACATAACAATAACAAAAATCTGCCGAATTTAGATGTTCGATGGGTACAGCATCTGAAAAGGGTACGTTAAAAATCAAAAACAAAGCTATAATTTGAGCACTAACATCACTTCAAACAGCAGAAAAAGCATCCCTGTGGTTATTGACCTATAAATTTCTATCAATGCACCTTTTTGGGATTTTTCGCACTCCAGACAAGTTTCTCAGTAGGATGGAACTAGTTCACACACTGACTCGAATAACCCCAACTTTTCTTTCTTGTCCCCAAAAGGAAGAGGGAATGTTTACAAACGAGATTGCTAGAGCTACTACGCTGTCATATTGTATACGTAGACTCAATTCGAAAAATTCGTATCAGATTTAACAGGAAAGAAATGGGATGATCAAATAATACGAAAGCATGTACGCGAAAAGCAGGCAAAAATATTGGTGATTGTTACAGGAAAGCCTTGATGGTAAAATCGGAATAAAAAATCATAATCAAAAACATGTTGATTACTCACCACACGGATTCTGTTTCCCATGGCGTTGGGGGGAAGATTGTGGTGGAACTTAGCGCGAACGGCTCCAGTGTTTCCATGAACTCGCGTGATCTTGCCCCAAATTGCTCTCGTTCTGGTTGGAACGCTATGGCCAGGCTTCTACAAAGGGTTACTTAGTCCCATAATCGAATCCTCCAAACAAATTTGACAAAAAGCTACCAACTGCACCCACTCGCCAGGAAAAGGTACCCGAAAAGAAAGAAAATTAGCCGTCAAGATACGAAAAACTCTCAGCAGCTCTATAAATGGCAGGTTCTACTCAGCAAAACACATACGTGCCTACAAAAAACGGAGATTACAATAAAAAGAGGCCACTACTTTCCGCACCCTTTCATCACTCACCGTTTAAGTCGGTGATTTTTCATTGCTATTCTATTATAGGAGAAAATCTGACTGTTGGTCTAGAACCAAATGTACTGTTTATGGTGTATCTGTTTGATTACGAAAACAGTTCTATTTGATGAAAGGGTCAAGGGTCTCGACTGAAACTTTGAAGAGACATGGAAATTAATTTTTTTAAATCAAAGGCTCATTCAGTATCCATCGCTCGATTAGATTCCTCTTTGAAGACAATTCAGCAAGCCAACGTAATTTATATGCAGACAAAAACACCAGGAATGCAATCGCCTTCAGAAAAAGCGTATATTCCCGCCTCTGACTAAGGAAAAGGAAACTAGTTAGCTGTTCCTTGAGAAATTCACGCTCGCGTTCATCCACGATTGTAAAAGCTCAGTGGTCAAGTGCAAAAATCAAGGAGCTCTCAAAACAGGGCATCTTCGAAGTAGGAAACTGTAGCAAAACATTGAAAAACAAAAAACCTTAGAGTACAAAACGTTTGTCTCGAAAAGCAGTCAACTTTCACGTGAATGCACATTTTAAACATAAAACTTGAGCGCTACAATCGCAGCTAACGAAAGGAAAAAACAATGAGCGAGAGGAAACATCAAAAAAGTCAAGAAGGAAACATACGGTAGTCTTGTTGTGAGCTTTGTAGAGGTAGACAGCACGCTTTCCAATGTAAAACTTGGCATCTTCTTTGTTAAACACTCCATCAAGCTTGAGCAGGGCAGTATGCTCAGATTGAGTACGGAGTCCACGCTTGAATCCGGTGAAAACTGCCTTTACGTACAGCCTGAACATCACATAACAAGGCCATGACCTTAACAATCAAGAGACTTACCTAATGAAATAATGGGAGCTCAGCAAAAATGAAAGAAGTTATTTTGACAATAGTGCAAAGTAGCTTGGGTGGACGCTTTCTACGGCGGTGGTCAGAATTTGAAGAAAAAACTAGTCGAACTTCGAAAAGGTTAAGCGTAGGGAAGGTTTATGGCTAGCCTATATTTTACCATGCAAAGGTTACGTAATAAAGCACAACCGAAATTTCAGAACTACTTTGAAAACAGAAATGAGCAGTCGAAACTAAGACAAGAAAAAAAACAATAAAAGAAAAACACTGGTTTGGCAAAGAGAAAACAAGTGTAATGGAAGGAAACTTAAGGTACGATAAAAACTTAATATTACAACGAAACTCACCTTCCGGCAGGTCCGGGTCCAGCTCTCCTAACAGCTTGCTCGGCCATTTATACCTAGAATTCTATCAATCGTGCCATCAATTATGTTAAAAGCAAACAGGACAATATAAGATCGAAACAAGTACGAAACTTGGACAAAACGGCCACCAACAACCTCGAGAAAGAACCGCTAGAGCAAAAAAAAACCGTGGAAATACATGAACTCTCATCGAGAGCATGATTTTACTCCGAAATCAAAAGGGCATGCTCCTTTGAAGACACTCTAGCATAGTTAGGAATTAAAAATTGAGTCGCCTTTCAACGAATCAACTACGAACAGGTACGGTAAAATAACCATTCAAACCTGCGCATCTAATTTTGTCTGCATTTACACTTCGCACATTTTTTTGGCGTATTGAACATTTTTCCGTGCCGGACTTTACCACAGCGATATTTCTATTTCTCCGGGTCTACGAACTGCTTGAACTCTGATTTCTTTTGGGGAGGTGGGCCGGGTCCATGCAGCATCGCAATCACAGGTGAAGCCAGGAACCAGGCCTTGCATGCATGAGCTCGGGCCGCAATGGACACCAGACTCACTTGGAAGGGAACTGTGTCTAGGGTGGCTGCGAAACTTGGTGAACAACGGTAGGAATATCATTGTTTTTAAGACCTTTCAATTGTGAGTTTGAGGGGAAAATACATTCTTTTATAAGGAAAGCCTATGCCGCTAGATCCAAACAGCAAGCGGGACGTTCTCAGTAATTTCCTCTATACTTACCACAGCAGCAATGAGTATGCCAGTTATTCTAGAGTCAATACTCACGAACTCTTGTGCACCAAATGTCGTTGCAAACGCAAACTGCGCTCGGAGTTTTGATTTTGTGGTAAAACCGCTATTCTGCTAGAAAGGTTCATACTAAGCTTCCATGATGACAGTCGGCGCTCCATTCGCTTGGCAGCATATGAATATGAATAGTGTAGTCAAGGGGTAGACGAAGGTGAGTAAAGGAATTCTTTTTGTGGGAACAGCTTTATTTGGTGTGCATTTTGACTGAGATTTTGAATATTTATTTGCTCAAAGCTGTATCGAAGTACAAATCAGAATGTTCTTTCGTTAGCGAGGTACATTAAACCTTGAGCTATGTAGAACATTACTCTTGATGAGACTTGTAATGTTTCAACTCTTCTTCCGAATAAGCTTGCAAGAAAGATCGAATTACTGACCATATTTCCAAGAGTTCCGACGAAGCGAATAATCGACGCCTGCAAGGAAAGTTAGGGCCAGTTGTGGGAGCAGTATGAGTTCCCACCAAGTGCAAAAAGTCAGAAGGGTGCTTCATATCTGGCGACAGCTCTACGTCTAAGTAGACCTCAGTTCTGATTTCACCTCCTTTTTCAGTATTACCTGGTAGGTATCGCTGTCCGTTTCCGTTGGATTCATACATACAGAACCAGCAGCAACGACTAAAAGACATGCTGAACCGAAGGAAAGTGAGTGCAAAAACACCAAAAACGGAATCGATGCGGATAGATCAGCGAAGCAGATATATGTGAATGTACAGTAGAACATTGTGACAAACATAGATAATGCTATTGACCATTCTTCAATTAAGTGGCTGAAACGACAGTGACAATTAAATGAAGCCTGACGATAATTCTGCTTTACCTCTATCATAATTATCATAGATTTATCGGAAACATAAAAAATGAGCTAACAAATATGACGAAATGGCTCAAGGCCAATCATTTGTTATCACTTTTTATCACTAGCACCAACTGTTTACGATAGTATGTGATAACAACTGATAAGGGTTGATGAGAGGTCTCAAAAACAAGGGCCATCGGATTCATTACACCCTTCGTGTTAACAGCGAAGTTTTGACGCGTGGTGTGCAATCAAACACAACCACAGATAACTGATGATAGGAAGTGATATCAATCGATAAAAGCTGATGAAGGATGCCAAAATCCACTGAGCTACCACTGGGATGTGAATCTTTACCGAAGCGACATCTCTTAAGATTTCAACCGGACAACAACTTACTGGAAAGAATAAAGATACATCAAATTGCCTAATGTGACAAGTATATAACCAATTTCCATGCCTTCATACGAAGATTTTGAAACGATTAAATATCGAGAAATTGCTGAAACATAAAAGAAGAGAGCTCAAGACCTGCCTGAAACAAATAACAAGCAAATTTACCTAACGTGGCAAATGAGGCCGCTGTGCCCAATCGAGCACGTGGTTGCATTGAAGACGTTAATGACAAGAATGAGAGCGCCATCAATGGCAAACCAAGCATCATAGACTGCGTTTGCTTAAAATTTGTTCGAAATTAGAAGTTATACTGAAGTATGTAAGTATGAAAGTAGTGCTTCGGAAGGGTAACCCTTTCACATCCACAGGCATGGGTCAGGATGCACCACTACAGTCGCTCCACCCGGATTAGGTCGGCGGCGACTCTGTCTGGTCGCGTCAGGACCCTTCATCCCTCACAGTTCGTGAATGTTGAAGGTTCCTGTCACGACTTGTGGAAAAGGCTGCCCGTAGATAGACCTGGTTTCAATTGAACGACCGCAATGGCGCCTCCTGACCTATATCAATTGACCCTCGGATACACACCGCAAAGTCCAATGAATTCTTCTTACACTTGCCTGTGTAAACCCATTTGTCTCCAGATACACTAGGAAAGTTGTTCCTCCATAGACAGCCAGTACACGTGCTGCTCCTCCGTCATTCATGATGACCACACTGTCGACTACTGTTCAGGGAACGATGTTAGCAAATGAGGCATACTCTCGCCTCACTGTTTTAGTAACATCCCCGAAATCACTCGCAACGATGATAATATGGACATACTGATATGAACGCAACAATGAGTACATATCACCTCGGGACGCAGCAAATCTCCCAACATTCTCGAGCCATGAGTCCTATTTTAACCCTACTTGTTCATTTCATACAGCTACAGTAATCCCGAAATGAAATTAAAAGTTAAAAGTTAAAAAGTTTTTGGCGTTAATCAATCTCGTCTGAGGGATGCGCCCCCGCACCCGACTTCCATTCAGAATCGTAGTGGCGTAATGAGTGCGTATGTGGCCTATACAATGACTTGCGGTGGCCAGCCGATGTACAGGTCAGTGCTTCTATCCTCCCAGACGAGTCTGTACCAATTCGCCGACCCCGGAGGGATGGAAGGCTTGGTTGGCCTAGGCGGGCATCGATCCGGGATTGTAACCCCTGACCGTGCGTGTGATATAGTGCGCCACTTGCCACTACACCACCTCCGTCCCCGAAATGAGATTAACTAAATAAAATACCTGGCTCGTAATGAATAATTTATCAACTTAATTGGCTAATAGATTTTCGCCCCTGAGCTTCAAGTTGAAAAGATGCAAATGTTACAGAGCTCGAACTGATGCCCGAGTTGCAATATGGGAGGGCTGTTGCCTGCTCAGTTGGCGGTTGATGGGAACGCATTGCTGCAACTGTGACATTTGCATGGAATTACAATTTTCTCTGAAAGAATTCTTTATTACTATTACTACCGAAATATGAACACTTTGCTAGAAACAATTATCACTGGCAAGCTCTTAAATTAGAGTGCTTTCGGAAAGCATCTAAAACTCAAATGACTTAGTTTAAATGAGTCAGCACTAACCAAATTACCTCATAAATGATCCCAAGTACAAATAATTAGATGTACAAAGCACAAATGCTAAAAGACACTCCGAGCAGTGAGGAAGATCACGTTCCATCCACCTTTGATGACAGGGCTTAGCAATAAACGCAGGCTACAGGCCAACTGAGCCCTAATCCAAACTTCAAATTTACTCGACGGGACCAAAAACTAGTGCAAATTAACCGTACTTCACCGATTTGAACTTGCAAGCAGATATCTTCCCTAGATATGTGAAGGTACCCCCCAGGTTGACGAGCATTATGCCGAAATAGCACATAGCCCAGCAAAACTACTATCTACAACTTTGATATGGCACGAGGTGACAACTATTCGGGAGAATACGTGAGACAACTAGCCAGGAATATACGCGCACATGAATGGATCGGGAACAACGTCACATACCCCACAACTGAACGCTTACCCCGAACACCAGCCCCGACTTTATATCTACAGATACTACCCTTCTCAAAAATTCACACTCGAAATGATCTGCTCAATAGTGCTCGTTGCACACAATGAAAACAACAATAAATGAGCTTTTCAGTGATATTAAAAAGTTCGTTCGTTAGCTAAAAATAGCAGTGCTTGTCCAACGTAGAACAGCACTCTTGATATTACTTGTACACTTTCCGTTCTTTCGCCAAACATATTTACCACAAACAAAGAACTGCTGGCGGTTTGGGCTATAGCTCCAATAAGGCGAATGTAAGATGCCTGAAATAAAATACTACAAAAGCTTGCAAAAGCCAGTAATGTGAGAATTTCTAATGAAAAAAGTAAATTTTCGCCAAAAACATAAAAAAATACCTGGCCTGCGTCGTTGTCACTGACATGACCATATTGACAAACCGATCCAGCAGCAACGATAGTCACACATGACGAAGCCAACAAAGCAGTCAACAACAATACCAAAGAAGGTATGGACATCATTAAATCAGCGAAACAGTAATAGAACATTATTAGAAGAAAAATGCCAGCTGCAACACTGAGTTCTGTGGACCAAATACGAATTTGCGACCTGAAGAATGTGAAATCATAAGTAAATGGATACTTTTAATGGAAGTACCCTAGTTTTTTATTCGTTTTCTAGAACCTGTACCCCATGTAATGGCAATACTACTGAGGTAGTCTGTGCATGCTCAAAACAGAAAAAAACTTCCTTATGAGTTTACAAAGCAATAACTACAATGGCTAAAGTTCAAAGAAACCATAGAAAAAGCCGATTGTGGCCTATTGCTATGGAAAGAAGAGTAGCATCGGAAACAAAAAGATTCCCAATCAATTTCCAATAAATACAAGGGAATGCAAAAAAAGAAAGAGTAGTATAATCTTACTTGAATGAATAGTAGTATGTAAGGTTGGCCACTGATACCGAGAGGTATCCAATTATTAGCCATGTCCAAGAACTATGCGCGGCTAACAGGTATCGCGATAAAGCTGCAAACTTTCTATGCATATACTGAATTGTTTTGAAACGAAAATATTAAAAATTACCAAGAATCGCGAACGACGCTGACGTTTTGAATCGTTCTTCTGGACTCATAGATGTTGCTAACGTGAGCAAAGAAAGGCCAATCACTGGAAGACTGAGGAGAAAAGCTGGTGAACTCTGAACATTAAATAATACTAAAAACCAAAAGAAATACGTTAACAAGTCGGGGGGATAGCTGTGTGGGAAAGGAAAGTGGAGCTTTCCGTGAGTTAGAAAGGGAAACAAGCAGATTTGAACTCAAAATGGGAGTCGCGCCTAGGAAGTTTTCCCTAAACAACACAGTTCACAACCAGATACAGTGAATCTTATGATTACTACGAAAAGTCCTCCAAGTAGTCGATATTCCTAGTGCGAATACGGACTGGACAAGCCGCACTGTTTTACGATCAACTCCGCTCATGTTTTGGGTGGGGGAGCGAACATTGCGTTATTCTGGACTGTATCTCACAAATACCACTGCGTATTTTGCTTTCTCAAAGCCAAAGATCACGTCTCCTCAAAAGAACGACGTTTGCCGGAAGAAACGATCGTGAACTGTGTTGTCAAATAATACCTTTTTGTCTCGCCTCCCGCTTGTACAAAGAATTAGAAAGAGAGACTAAACATGCAAAAGCCGTTAAAGCACTCCAGCGTACACTTCATGGTAAGATAGGAATAGGAAAAGGCTGTCATTTCTTTACCTTGGTAAAACCATTTGTTTCAATGTACACGAGGTAGGTCATGCCGCCATAGATGGCCAGCATTCGTGCTGGGCTAGAGTTGCTCATTTTCTTCTCTGAAACAAAATCAAATTCATCGAAAACACTGAGTTATGTATGTGACGATGCGAAGAACATATTACCAAAACTGTCAGTATACCCGAAATTTGAATCTTTTGAAGATTCTTGGCCGGGAACGTTCGAAGCTGGTCGAGGTATGATGACATAGAGCCGTAAAAAAGACAAGAAATATATTTCGACTACCTATTTTATACACAAAATCTTCACTGCCTCCTCAAAATAACCAAAGCCAAGTGTATAGTGCGTTTACCCCAACGATGCGGTCTAATAATGAGCGAAGTTCCCATGTACTCCTCTGCAGAAGAACGGAAAGAGTCAAGACATTTAAAAAAAAACAGGGTTAACCCAAAAACCACGCAAACTTTCGTGGTAATGGTTGTGTTTAGACTTTGCATAAAAGCATGCTCGTTGGGCACGTTCGCCCCGATACAGCCAAACCATCGCTATCGATTCACCGCCGGTTACGCGCGTACATCGTACGTCGAATGCTGGCCATATGCTTATCGAAAGTATGAACGCAGCCAAATCGGACAGCAACCTTATTGCTCTCAACGTGGAACACCTGACACTCTACCTTTTATCCTCGCAGGTGTTCAGCTGTTGAAACGAGAATGTGCACAATCGCCATAATATTTGCTCAGGCAGTTGTAAAAACATCAAAAACAACAGCCAATTTCAAGCACGTCTTCACAGTGCAAAAGCACATTCAAAAACGCTTGTCAACTTCCCTGTTTAGTAGGTTTTTTTCAAGAAAAGTCCTTTAAGGGACTGTCCAAAGAAATGGCCAGCTTCACAAAACTTAACAAAGCAGGACCACCCTAGCCAACCGTAGTAACCTCTCTGTTCTACTCACAAGTGATCATTGTAATCTTATATACAATGAAAACAGATGTAAAAGCAAACAACTTGAAGCTTAACGCGAAGCATTTTTCGGTACGGTTGAGGTACGCAAATACACCGACACCACACTCAAGTAAACACCGTAAACTACGCCTTGATTTTCTGAATGAGAAGAGTTTGCTATCCTTCGCCCTCCGTCTCTTAGGGACAGTGAAAAAAAGGGATCGTTCGTCTAATTCATATACTAAAGGATTTCGTGACTCGGGGACGAAAATTCAGTGCGGGTGCTGGTTTCTTAAAGTGACCTTACAGTAGAACAAAATGTAATGATCGCAAAATTTCACAACAGATGTATCAGGGCCACTCGTTCGAGCCAAGACCAATAGCCGAATTACTGTAGGAATCGAGTGGCCTCGGGAAACTTGCGTTTCTGTCTTTGGAGATAACGTACTACCAATATAGCCTACATATATTATCTAATTTGGTTAGATTGTCACAGACTGAGAAGAAATGCCTCTGTTGTTGATAAATCTGATAGAAATATGGTGTGGAATTCCCAGTGGCCATAATTTAAACATCTGACAAAAGGCTACAAAAGGTATTTAGAAACATTTATGTCGGTGTGTTATGAATGCAGAAAAGACTCGAGCACAGAAAACAACAAAGACGGATGATCTACTTTTACAGCGTACAGAAGATACCTTCTATATTTCAACAAGTAAAACCGATATTTCGTAGGTATTACCCTGATAGAAAGTTCATGATTCAGAGGACAAATAGTGCGCACCACCCAAAAGTAATTGACTAGACTGGTTGAGTTTCCCCCAGTTATTTATTCAGCCTGTATTTGATGTGTTATATGCTGTTATGTCTTCAGGGCAGAGGTGTTGAAGCGGTAAATGGCACTGCGCTCATAGGGGTCAGCTTCACTTACGCTGATTAGGTCTGCCAACCTCAGACCTTTATACATTTTTGGACCATACAGCACGCTTGGGTTATGGGTTACATCATGGCAGCATGGGAAATAACGTAAAGCCGCCAAAATTTCAGTATTTTTACTTAAATTGTAAGTCTTCTCTTTTCATGCTACACCACTTTTAAATTCTACCTTTTTCATATTTTGATGATGGTAACTAAATCAAACTTCGTCCTATTAATATCTAGCAAACATACGAGGGTATAGATAGTAGTTCCGATTCATTCACGGCATATGGCGATTACTAGACAGTTGTCTCGCCGCAATCCATGCCCTTTGTTAGTTGTCTTGCCACATAGCATGGCAGTCAAAATCACTGTCCAGCAATCGCAATTACGCAAGTACTACACAAATGCACTTGTTTACTTATTGATTCACCCATATATACATTCACAATCAGACGATATCAGAAACAATGCCACAAACATTTACATCAATTCATCACTCATTAGCAGTCTAGGTACAAAATTTCATCTCAGAAAACGGCTCTTGGAAGTTCCTAGAAAAATCGCGTCCCACCAAATGAAAAATCACACTTTTACAACTTTCAATCTAGGGTTCAACTGCTTGATTCTACTAACAAAAAGGAAACACGAGACACTGCGGTTCTTTTGTCACGATCGGGTGAGAACCTTCCCGTTTTATCAATACAAAGCATTATTTTAGTTTCGCCTTAGCATGAAGACCAGTATGGATATTGCCGTATAAGATGAGATACTGAGCCGAGTAATACGTTGAAAGGACGACCATTTCGGGCCAAAAGATTTCATAGCCACGATGAGCCATTATTAGCACCGAATCCGATATGAAGAATAGCATAAAACCAATGAATCGGAGTAGAAGACCCTGCAAACATTGGTCAATATGCTGAGATACGCTACACATTCGTATGGTACACAAAATTGAATGTGTAGGTGGGCATTCAAATAGTCTAAGCAAAGGTTATCAGAAATAAGCAAACCCTATATGAATTGAAGGCTTGACTAGCTTGGTACATCTATAATCCATAAATCAGTGATAAGCCGTATACTCCCTCAGGGCTCGATATCTTCTGTATATGCTCGGTATCTTCTGTATGTCCTGCC